ATCTCTGCAGATATGGGAGTTTCCGAAAATAGGGGACTCTAATGTAGTACCCTAAATAGTAGGTTCCCTATTATAAGGACCCCAAAATAAGGTACCCCCTAATTTCCGGAAACTCCCATATGTTAGACATGATCTTACGGTCGAGACCGCCCGGCCGACGGCCAGACGGAGCTGAATCTATCGATGCCTATCTGTGAACATATGTGTATTGCAGGAGACTTTTGTTTTCAACCCTGAGATTCCATCCATGTCCAACATTTGTTCATCCTTACATGACTTTTCATCAGTAGAGTCGGTAGAGTGCTGTCAGGCCTTTGTACAGACCACTTGCTTCCAAGCGGTGCCGGGCTGGGCAAGATTCGCTTGGTGTCTTGGAGTCAGCTCCAGGCTGGAAAAGTATTGCTTTTCCCTCCAGGTTGTTGCCTTGGTCGCGACGTGCTGCGAACGTCGTGCAAGTGAAGGGCACGTCGTGCACAGCTGAGCTTGTGGCCAGTTCGAACACTGAACCAAACTCTCAGCTGCACTTAGGTATGCCCAGTTCTTGGTTCCTTGCACAGGCTGATCGAAGGGACTGACTGCGCTGCTAGGTCTTCGTGAATCGAAGTGTGCAGGCAGCAGCTACGACCCGGACTTCCTTGATGACCAGAGCTTGAGGCCCGAACTGCGAATGTGGAATCGGCATCGGTGTGTGTGTGTGTGTGTGTGTGATTCCTCCTACCAGGCAAGGGAAGAACCACACTGTGCTCAGGCTTGAAGGATACCACGTCCGCACCATGGTCTGCAGTGTTGGAGATGGGCTCAGAAGTTCTGCCTTGACAAGGTCTCCATCGTACCCTTTGTGCGAGCACGTCGTTTGAAAGATGAGCTCAACGACCAATTCCGTTGCAGCCGCTTGGCAAGAAGCGCACCCCGAGCAAATTTCGTCTTATTATATAGGTGACCGGCTTTTGCTATCCTCGGGTCTTTTGGCTTGTTTAGATTTCTCGAGGTTGGAGTTTGCTAGGTTCACTCATCTGTGACATACGTATACGAATCGGTGTTGGTTCGACATCCGTCCGCACAACCTTCTTCTGACGTACCTCCCGAATGTTCATTCCACAGGAACCTGTGTAGGTGTGATCTGGCCGCATAGCCCTTCAGCTGACCACTTCTTAGATTCATTCGGAACTTGGCTTGGCAGAGAAGCAAAGAGCAACAGGAAGACTTTACTCGCCAAAGTGGTCGATGCCAAGACATCAAGATCCCACACAATTGCTGACAAGAACCTCTTCGAAACTGGCAGGAAGCCGTACGTCGTGGGGATACTTACAATTTACACCTGCTGTGATCTAAAGCAGAGATTTAGATATGGCAGCAGATCATGAAGCCGAGGCCACCCGCAGATTCATCCGTCGCTGACTCTGTCAAAGCTACGCAACCTGCAGAAGGCAGAATGCGCGCATGGCACGTGTCTGGAAACTTTGGCTGGGCCGTTCAGACGCTTTGCAGGATCTTCGCGAAATCACGCAGACGATGCCCGAATTGGATGTTTGCTCTGTGGCCCTGGCGTCGCGGCCCCAACACAGCTGCTTCAAAAAGGGGGCACCGCTCAAAGCCAATCTCGTCCAGGTGGGTATACTTTGAGAAGCTCGTGCTGAAAGATTGTGTGCGCAAGGCCATGGGCTTTTCGATTCGGGACTGCCTTCGCACGTCAATGGGCGGCTTTTGTCGCTTCCGATCGGATCACTGTCTGTCGCTTGTTCGGCAGGGTTGCGACGTGAGGATGCACCACCCCAACGGCTAGCTGCTAACTGCTGGATACCCGTGCTGAACTTGGCAAACTGAGCGCCTGATCCATGCGACTTTAACCGGATCTCCCGAATTCAAACGTGAACAAAACCTACGCCTGGGAGGTGCGCGCACGCAATCCTAGATGTTGAACAAGCCTCGTGTCGAAGTCCTGAATTGGCTCTTGAAGCCTCCATGCCTACCGAGTCCCTGTTTTGGTAAAAAATAAGTACGGCTTCGGTCGGCACCTTGACACCAGGTCCCTGCCCAAGAGCGTCAACCTTGGTTCCAGGATCAGAGCACCTCCCATCAAGCTGAGCTTGAGACGCAAGATGAGATGTTTTAGTGTCCGAAGATAGGGGACCCTAATATGGTACCCTAACTAGTGGGATCCGTCTTATAAGTACCCCAAAATAAGGTACCCCAGTTTACGGAAACTCCCGTGAGATGTGGAAGGTAGAGTCGAGACTCGTGCAACGCGACACAACACAATGTTTCTCTGATGGCCCTTGTTTAAGATGACGAGGCTTCAACATGCAAGGGCAACGGGGATACATGGTCACGACTTGAGCTCATGAGATTGCAGGCCAGCCGAAAGCTCCTTGCAGGGGCATGCCTGGTGCTTGCGTACAAGTGCTGCCCTTGGCCTTGGCCTCTTTTGTTTGGGTGAGAAAAAGTTTAAGTCATGTCGCTGCAGGTTTCACCAGCGAGGTGATCGTGATAAAATCAGGCGGTCGGAGTTCCATCCATTGCTCGAAGGCCCCCGACCGAGCCATCTCTGTCAGGAAGCTGGCTGCCGAGATCCGAAAAATGGATCGAAAGGCGCAACGAACTTCTCACCTTGCTTTGGCGAGTCCATTAATTGGAGAGGATCGCTTGCAGTGGGAAGATCTTCATGAAGCCGAGCTCAAGGCTTGGGGCTGAGTCTTTGAGGCAGAGATCACATTTCTGGCAGCTCTCCTCCCAAGTCCTGTCAAAGCTTTGTTGAGGGATAGGAACGGCCGATCGGAAGGCTCCGAGTTCGGGGCACCCGGTGCCCAAAATGCCGTTCCGAATCCCTCGTTCTTGACGCACGTGTTTATATCTTGTGGAGAGACTGGCCGAAGCACTCACGGAGGTCTTTGTCTGGCTGGAGTTCAGCCTCCATGTTCCAGCGGCAGAGGCACCAGCTTGTCAGTGCTCAGGTATGGGTGCCTTTTTCTTGGCGACAGGTCATACCGCACCTCCACCGAATCCTCAAGGCCTGGATCTGGGATCTGCCTTTCACGACCGGAAGTAGAAGCAGACACACCTCTCTCCGTTGGCACGAATGCCTGCTTCGCGTCCATAATTCGCGCAATCATTTCCTGCGAGTTGCCGCTTGATCATGCTGAGCGACACTTGGCTGTACGTGGACCAGATGTTCTGCTGGTCACGTGTCAGGACTTGGGCATGAGTTGGCAAGAAATCGGTGAGGCAGGATGTATGCCGAGGCTGGCATGCCATCAGCAAGAGCAGGGCATGCCGTGGACCTTTGAGTTGCACAATGCACGCTTTGCCGAAGGTGCCCTGACGATGAAGCAGATGCCGTCACTTAGGGACTTCGATTAGTCGCCTCATTTTTTTCCGCGACAATCGGTGCGTGCAGGTGGGCTGCATGAAATGGTGGCGGCCCACTTGCGAATGTACATAGCACCATGTCACCAGCAGTTTCACCTGGGTGGCATCGGGGAATAGTTGCTTAGGGGTCAAATATACTCGTCAGCTCCGACGCATGTTACACCTGCCTACGGATGGGTTGCTGCACAGCGAGCAGCAAGAGCAGAACCAGCTCAGAGGAACAGGTGTTGTTCGTGATTTCAAGAAGACGGTAGGCGGCAAATTGCCATGGAAACTCTGAAGGCTTCGATTAAGCCACCGGAGATCATCGCAGATCATCGCAGATCCTGAATGTCCGTATGCCTCTGCTCGCGTTATATGTCCCAACGCACAGATTCAGATAGAGTACGGGCAAGACTTGTGCCCGGCTTCCATGCCGGTATAGATATAGAAAAGACGGACGCTTCTAAACTTCTCAAGCGCCTTGAAAGCCATGGTGATGCTGAATCTGAATGCCAAAAGTAGAGCTGCTCGCATGAATCGGTGGTCGGAGGAAGCTGTAAGTAGACTGCCTGATGGCTGAATCTGAGGCTATGGTGGCGAGCGCAGCTGCAGCACGAGATGGCAAGGAGACCGCAGTCAATTCTGGTACTTTAGGCATAACAGGCACGTCGTTTTAGACTTGGACTAGGACAGATGGGCAATAGCGAGACAGCGACTGTACTGCAAGAGGAGTTTCCGGGAAGCGAGACGAGTCGGACATCACGGTCCAGGCATTGGTCAGCAGCTGCAGTGCACAGTCCGCTCACTGGCCCTTATGGGCTATGGGAAGGCCTTCCTCTGCTAAGCGAAGCTCGCGGCCAGCATCTGCAGGATCAAAGCCAGGTGCCTCTGATCTGTACAGCTGCCACCTCAGCTCCGGACGACACGATAGCAGTTCCAGCTGGTCTTACAGGCGCGACGCGGACCATGTGACTTCCTGTGCACCTAAGACCATGCACAGTCAGAAGTCCTCTCGCCCGAATCTTGAACACAACTGTCTTGACTGTACGACACCACGACACCACAGCAGGAATGCGCCCGGAACAGAATAGCAAACTCCAACCTAGGCGGAGGCTGAGCGAGAAAGACAGTCGTGAGACAAAGTGCCCATGCAAATGACACCTAGATTGCTAAGGTTTAGTATGAACAAGCGATGCAGTTTGGACTTGTGAGGCCGTCCTTGCAGAAGCGCGTTTTAAGTTTAGCCAAGGCCTCTATTTAGTTCTGTGCTAGTGCACCCATTTCCTGGCAGAGGCCTGTAGGTCCGCGACTTGTCTTGAGTGACACCGGCGCTGAGCACATAATGCGACAAATCTCATCCTGGGCTGATTGGCAGGCCGCGTCTTGCGTCTATAGAGAGGCAGATTGAGTGTCGGCAACATGGTTCTTGCACGATAGACATACCTGCATAGCCAGAAGGCAAGAGTTGGATAGTTGGCAGGCAGCAAGCTCGTTGGATAATCGACGACGTTTCTCAATAAGACTTCCTGGGTGCTGGCAACACTATAGCCGTCAACACGACCAGCTTCGGATGTTACTTCAGAGGGAGATGTGCAGGTGTGCAGTCAGATCATACTCCAGTCGATACTTAGTCCCGCACCTGTGACGTGGGCATGCTAGGTTATGATGCCTTCTTGGGCAATGCCGGCAAGAGGCTGTGTTGCTGCATGTTGCTGCAATGTGCCGGTTAATGAACTTAACGCGTGTAAGCTTCTTAGACACCTGACCAACTGTTGCCAGCTCATCGGGGTGGCGCGTAGCGCGGTGATCTCAGAGAAGCTGTCGTGTAGTGCCGTGGCTCCCTCGAATCCGGAATCGAAAAAAACGTGTCAAGGTGGAAAGTTCCTCGAAGCTTCTTGGAGATCGCTGCCAGCCAGCCCACGGAATGGCTGAATCTCAAATGGGGCCCAAAGGAGTTCGACTTCAGAGAAGCTGGCGCCTCTCGGCCGAACGGTGACAGCTCCGCAAAGGACCACCGCATTGTTTTCGTGTGTTCGCAGGCACGGCTGGAGGCAGATGCGCAGCAAGCTGCAGCGCACGAGGCAGGAATGAAATCCATCGAAGAATGGCAGCAACAAGCACGAAATGCCTCGAGCCGAGTCGCATCTTAGAACGTCGCAGGCTAAACAAGCGCGAGATGGGAAGCTCAGACGCCGAAGGGCTGAGCAGTTTGCGAGGCTGTGGGAAGAGCTTTTGTTTCGAGTTCCCGCTAGCAATGGTAGGGAGGTCGTGTCGGAATTCTCCCTAGTAGTGGCAGAGGTCGTGTTACAAACGTCGCTTCTACTTCCCACTTTCGTCTGCCGCTGAAACATGACTGACAGTGCAGCACACGGTTTTTGCATGATATCGGCTCGTGCAGTTTAGTCGAATGTGACTTGACAGGAGGCAGAATAGCAACAACCCTAGAGGACCCAAACCGAAGCAAGGCTCATATCACAGTCCCGCCCTGCTGACTCATGAGACGCTGGAAAGGCAGCAAAAGCAAAGCAGCAGCGGAGAGCCCTGGCGACCGTGCTCGTGCGGAGTCTCAGTGACAGCGCTGAGTGTTGCTTTTGGGTCTTGGCGAAGCCTCCGAGTTGTCCACGTTTCAGGCACGGAGGCCGTCAAGCAGCAATCCAACATCTTCCTGGGCGTCGCTTTAAGTGCATGCTTGCGGCTTAGAGGCTTAGCAGTGCCTAGAGCCAGAGCTGACGAAAGTAGCTGCGGTTTGGCTAAGGCCTGGGGACTCTTCCTGTGGCTTGTTCTCTGACGTGCCGCCGCTGTCGGTGGGGAGACCTTAAATGACTTTATTTTCCGGTACCTTTCGATTCGTGATGTCAGGCCACTGAAGCCAGCATGCTGCGCGCTGGGGGTCCGCAGGCAGGAATGGTAGCATCTGTAGCAGCGCCAGAATGCTTCGCCCTCTTTTTCGCTTGTACTGTGTACAGCAGCTCTCCATATGATTGAGCCTTCCTAATTCTTCAGGTCTCGCAGCGCAGCCGTCCGGTTTCAGCCTCATCTCGTGGATCAGTTGCGTACATGCAGGCAGGGAACACACGCAAGGCTTCTGCACAGCCATCGACCCGCAGAGCACCCGCGCCCATCTGAGGGTTTCACGGTTTTCCGCTCCTCCCCCATTTTTAAAACAGTGGCTCTTGGCTGCATGTCCAAGAGGGCGCATGCCGGGTGCAACACGTGCCGAGAGCTTCGGCAGGATGCAAACTGAAGACCAGGAAGCATCCGTCCGCTGCGCAAGACATCGCTTGATGTCCGCTTAAGTACATGGCAGAAAGTGCAGTCTCTACAACGCTCAACCCGAAACTTCAAGATAAAACGAACACCAGTAAGACAATTTAACAAAGGTCGCCCTTGGCACATTCTGCCATAATGTACCCATCTGTACCAATCTGCAGAATCTCAACCAATGAGTTGTGAAGCATTGAAGCTCGAGTTCAAAGGTGTTTCGGCCAAATGCCAACTACAACAAACCTCGGCAGAGTTCTGCTTCAAGTAAAGCGTATCCAATAACATCCTAAACGCTTGGGGCAAAACCAACACAAAAGGATAAGGACAGGTCTAGGCAACCAAATTGCAGGCGTTCTCGGTCCTAGGTGCCTGGCCTAGCGCGGGCTTGAAGGACCTTCCGCTGAAACTTCGCGAAGCTACACCGTGAGCATGACCTCGCAGTCTGCTTGGATTGGACGGCTTGGGATTTCATGAGGCAGGCGGAAAGAAGTGACAGCAGGGAACGAAGCGTGCGGGAGTCGCGGCGAGCCCGAGGTCCCTCAAACCAGCTTCGCTTCGAATTTGCAATGCAACGCATGCCGCCAGGGTGGACGCCTTGAGCCAATCGCCTTGAGCCAATGGGATCTTCTCGCAGTATTCTCGCCAGCGCGCAAAGGCGAAATCGAAAAGGCTCTGTGAAAGCAGTTCTGTCGGAGGCAACTCGATCGTGGGTACAGATGACTTTGTCCTGTATGCTCGGCGCAGCATGATAGATTTGCAGGCGAAACAAGCCACGACCACTCGTCCAAGCAAGGCAATGCTTGACTCAGTCTTCGGTGGTTTGCTGTGCTGCTTACAGTATCGCTTGGTCACTGAGTGACCTACTATCTGCTACTAGCTGTGGCTCTGGTGTGACATACAGGACCGAGCGTCGCCAAGCGATTTCCACAATCTGCAGCTGGAACCCGAAGCCCTTTGAAGAAGCCCTTTCGCATGTCAACAGTTGACACGCAGCCGCACATTCGATCTCCGTTCCTTGGTCGGCGGTTCTTCAACCGCATTAAACTTTTGATTCGTCCACAAAATGTCGCAGGCCCCAATGATGGAAGTCTTGCCTGCGAAAGCCTCCAAATCAACCTCCACACATCAGCACTGCTTTGCTCCTTTCAGGCCGGGACTTCCTTGCAGATGCGTTTAGCGTCGATGTTGCCCTTTAGGGTTTAGGGTTTAGGTTGGTTTAGGGGTCTAGGGTTTAGGGTTCTGAGGTCAGTTTATGTGCCCAGTTTAGGGGCGGAGTTTCGGAACATGCTGCGGGAAGATGCCAGGTTCAGTTTCGGTGCAATGCCAAATTTGGTTTCGAGTCCGGTGTGGAAGAACACTGCTAAACCTGACGAACATTTCTCCTTGCAGTCCCTTCAACCCATTCCCCTAAACCCCAAACCCTAACCCGTTCTCTAAGAACCTGGCTGAAGATACCCTCTGGTCTGGCGTACTTTGGCGCTCGAAACCCTAGTCATCCACCGCTTCCAGCTGCCGCGGCCTTCGCGTCGATATGCTAGAGTCTTTGATTTTCTTCTGCAGTGCAATTAATACAGGGGCCTTAATAATTACCTATACTATTTTGAGGGATCCTTATTATAATTACAGTATAGTGGGCTCCAAAACCCTAATCCAATCCTTAAGGCCTCTGCATTAATGATTCTTCGATCTGTTCCGTTTGTCCCGCTCAACGGGACTCACCGCGCTGTCAGTCTTTCGCTAAGGGGGCAGGTCATTGTAGCATGAATTCCAATCATCAGCAGGCAGGCTCCGCAACTTTCCGGAGGAAGAGAGTCCAAAAGGTCAACCGGGATGAAGGTGCAATAGAGAATGCCGACGAGGGATGCTGCTATCGGATGCCACATGATGCCACTATTTCTCGCAGCGTGGTAGTGTTGGCACTCCGGACATTCTGTAAGCAATGACTGGACACAGACGTGCTTGGCTGGGAGAGGGGTTTTCAAGAACAGAAATTTGTAACGCGAAAATGGTGTGCGCTTTGAACCCCGTGTACGGCTTTGTCGTGAATGGTCCCGTGTACTCCACCCTACTTGGCATCAGCATGCATCAGCTGCACTGGTCGTGGCATGCTCTTCCGAGAAATTTCAGCTCAAGCGGCCGTCTGTGGGCGGTCGGGGGAAACCGAATTGAATGTTTTCAAGGACCGTTGGGATATAGAATAGAGTGATTGTCTTGAGCCATTTTGGCAAAACGCGTTAGGATTTGGTGGAAGAAGGTGAGATCGCTGAGAGTCTGAACTTGCTATGTTCGTGATTCTTGGAGTCCGTTGGAGCCCTGATGAAAGCTGTGAAATAATGGCTCAAAGTAGCTCGCTCGCAGGGGGTGTTGCGGGTGCGAAGCTTTCCCTTGCATGTTCTCGGCAAGACGCCTAGGGCGACTCGGTGTCTAGACACTTTCGCCAGTACTAGTAGTGAAGGGATCCCAACACGGCAGGATGGACATGTCTGCGGCAAAGGATAGAATCGCCGCAGACTCGGTTGTCCTATTTCCCTTCTTGGTTTTCGTTCTTGCACTTATGCTTGCGATTGCATGCCGGACTGAGGCGGCTTATGGCTTGGTGCAGCTTGTGCTCCAAGCCCGATGTGGTGTTAAACTTGGTACACCTGAGCTCCGGTCCCCCGTGTCAGATGTGCACATGCATCACAAGATGCCGCAGCTGCGTGGCAAAGCATTCTGTGCACGATACGACTTAGCTCTCCGAAACTGAACGTGGCACCATCATCCTCTTTGATCGTACCCTTTGCGAGGCCCGATTCCTTGCGGCCTCTCGCTGCTCGGTTTTGCGCAGGTGAAGGAGTGCTGGTCTGCGGCGGGGTGCTACGGGGTGCTCCTTATCCTGGATAATAGCTGTCACAGCGAACCTCCACATTCCGTAGCTGGGTTCCCAGCCGCTCATCGACAGAAACATGCAGTGCCTGAAGCGACATCTGAACTGCGTCCGAAGACCCTTGCTTTGCTTTTCATCAGGCGCTGAATCAGAAATGACACGAAAAGGCCGAGCGTGCAGGGTATGCGCGAGCGCAGACCAAGAGGAACCGCAAGATCTGAAGCTAGGTGTTTGTCTGCGTGCGCAAGGGCGAGCAAGGTCTTCGCAAGCGCGGACCTAGGGCCAAAACTAGGAGAATGGAATCTTGGACAACGCCTAATCTGACCAAGTCCTGAGTCAAGCCAGTCAGAACCTCCTGACAAAGCTTTGTTCCTTGCCTGAGCAATTCGGGTTTGGCAGGCCTCCTTCAACTCCGCCAGCTCCATAGCCAGTCTGGGTAACCAAAACATCCTCCATCGGTGTGGGGTGCGTAGGCTCCTCAGCCCGCTGTGTTGCAAGGTTGCATTTCCTGATTCTGCTTCAAAAGCTTTAAGACTGCAGTGCCGAAAACGGCTCGAAACAAAGACGGGTCATCCTTCGAAACTGAGAGCCGCACCATCATCCTCGATTGTAATCTTCAAAAGGTCCTGTTTGCCTCTGCAAAGGGCAAGTAGTGCTAGTCTGCAGGGGGTGCTCCTTATCCTGGATAATGGACCGGACTTTCAAGGTGTTATGAATGTTGTCATGAATATGCGCATCGCCAGAAGTCTCTCGCACTCGCCCTGCCAGACCTCAGTCGCTGTGAGCGCCCTGCGATCGCGATGCAGGTCGCTGAGGCTCGAGAAAGACGTGTACCCCGATCTAGGGTATCCAAAGCTGTAGGTCTCCTGATTTCCGGAGCAGCCATTGTAGCGAACCTTCCGGATTCCGTGACCGGGTTCCGAGTCGCTCCTCGACAGAGGCGCGCGCTCAGTGCCTCAAGCGACACTCCATCATAAGCCTCAAGGATTGCGCATCTGACCAAGTCCTGAGTCGAGCCAGTCAGACCCTCCTCAGCTTTCATGTTCCTTGCCTCGGTAATTCGGGTTTGGCAGGCCTCCTTCAACTCCGCTACCTCCAGAGCCTCTGTCTGGGTAGCCAAAACATCCTCCATCGGTGTGGGGCGCGTAGGCTTCTAAGAGAGCCATCTCGGAGGGCGCTCTTTGCTGTAACGGCTGCGTCAATCCCGTGCAAGGCACCATGTTACCCACTGCATGTAATTACAGAAAATGATGCAAGAGTTCACTTGCTGGGTTGAAACTCAATCTTCACCAGTTTGTTTGAGGATGACTCTGATGTTCCATGAGCCGGCACCGATGGTATTGCTCTATGAACCAGCCTTTGGAGCTTGCGAAAACGTACTGCAAGTGATCGTTTCCCAGGTTCCAAAAATTAGACATGTAAACGTGCCGGAACCCTTTACTGTTCCACTCTGCTGTCGTGTACCATGCAGATCACCAGGCCAGCGACTCCAATCCAAACGGGGTCATGAGCCGCAGAGGGGTTTTGGTCGCTGGAGGTGTGCACGCAACTCAGACCGGGAAACTGAGCACGGTAGACACTCCCGACACCAGTATCATTTCATACTGCACGATCTCTGAACATCGGTTTATCGTTACGCAGGGCAGCCACACTGCTTCAAAAGCTTGAAGTCTGTGTTGCAAGCTTTATTAAAGAAATTAAGACTGCAGTGGCGAAAACGGCTCGAAACAAAGACGGGTCATGACTAGGGCCAAGTCTTGTTTTTATCCGTATTCCAAGGCTTTTGGCGTTGGGACTTTTGGAGTTACGTTTCGGGCTCCGGGGTTGTAGGGTGCAGCCCGCAGCTTTACTTCAAGGCTCGTGATTGGGGGGCATGAAACCAACTAATATCCTTGCGTGGTCCTGAACACTGACGCTTCGATGACAGAACAGGTTGCACAACAGGCTTATGAGGCATTACTTGTTTGAAAGATCAGAGGACCTCGCCCATTCCACA